TAGTACCAGCCACATCTCAGCCCCACTGGGTCCCCCGCAGTCTGGTTGACCACCTCTGGTGAATGATTAAAAATACATGGCATCATCCCTGTGAACCAGGCAGATCAGTAACCTCAAAGCTTGTCTTATAACCACAAAGAGAGGGTTTGAATTGTGACACAATAGAGATTTTTGCAAACAAATTAATGTACCAAGAAATCAACTGTAGTATAAAGCCTCCTGTAATTTACACAGGGAAATCACCATTGTGTGAGCTTTTCCTACATTTGAAGAATCTTTAGTTCCTAAAGGACCAAATTAGCAAGGTCCTTACAGGTGCCTTTGAACAGTTGGACCTGTGACTAGGGAAGACCTGAGAAATTTGTACCTCTCTGAGGATGCATGACTTTGGCTCTGCCACCAAAATATCTTTCTGCATCCTCATTTCAATCTCTTCTTGGTCAGGTAAGATTAGGGTGAGGAGTCCTGGGCTCTCATCATTTATGAATCAGGTTGAAGACAACATATGTCAAATAGAACATGTAATTTTTTATATTATACCCTTGATATTGGTGGTAGATTAAGAAAAACAGAGTAGGTTTATGAAAACTGACAGAATTTAAGATGTTAAAAATTAAGCTAAAAGTCCAAGATGAGTCCCTGATAACAGATTTTAATATGCAGGAAAAAGTGTAATCTCATCAGTAGCATTAATAACAGTAGAAAAACATATACAATGAGGTCAAGGCAAGGATATAAAATTAAGACTGTTTAAAATGCAAAATACCTTGAGGTCTAAGCTAGAGAATATTATAATGATACTTTCTTATTAAGCAATTCTTATTTATGTAATTCATCCAAAATCTGAGACCTGGGGAGAAAATCAAGTGTGTGGTCTTCAAAAGATCAACATGAGTAAAAGCAAAATAAAACAAAAATTCAACTAGAAGTTAAATTAGAAAAAATAGAGGGTGGTTCTTTTCTGGGAGAGAGAGAGTAAAAGCGAGTAAGAACTCACAACAGGAAAGCAAAATGGAACCAGAGACTAAGGACACAAAGTTTGACCAAATTCCTCTCTCACTGGGATTAGCGAAGACCTAGTCAGATGGAGGGAAAGTGACTGGTTAGGAATTAGGAACTGAGGGGCTACTGTGACTCCTGTGAGGATCTTGGCCCCAAACACCCCAAGGTATAGCAAAGGTGAGCCAGCTGAATCTGCCTGCTTGTAGGAGTCAAGTTTCAAATGCAAATGTGAAACATGACATCCTAAAGAGGAGTTCTGCCTCTGGTGGACCTTGGTTGACTGTGTTACTTTGAACCAAACCTTCTCCTGAGAAAAGCTAGAAAAGATCAATGAAATATTAGAAACATCTGCTTGAAGAAATTAGAGATCTGAAAAATCAGTGAGGAACCTAGTGGTGAAAGAAGAAACCCAGAGAGACAGATGGTAAGAATGTGGGGACATTTTCCCCTGGAGAGAATTGTCTGAAAGTTATAGCTGAGAGGCAGATAAGCTGCAGAGAGCTTCTGAAAGAGGGACAAAAGTTGGGTTCGGAAACCTCCTTGGAAGGGAGGACTTTGGAAAACTTCATGGGTGTTTAAGTGGATCCCAAAGGACCAAGAGCAAGGGAGTAGCAGAAATTGAAATCCAGCTCAGAAGCCCCTCAACATTGATTTAATTAGGGTGACCTGGGATTGTTAGTGCCTCTAGACCTGCCACCCACCAGGTACAAAGGGAATAGTCTCTGGAAGAAGATGATATTACCAGAGCCTCAAATTATTGTTATCGTTTTTCATGTAGAATTCACTGCAATTAATGAAAAGCACTAGTTAAGAAGATAAGTTATGACCCATAAACAAGTAAAAATAGGCAATAGAAAAAGACTCAAGGAGGATCTGATTAATAAAATGATCAGGCACAAGCTTCAAAATAATTGATTAATATTTTCAAATAATTTAAAAGACAAGATTGGGAATTTTGACAGACTATGAACTATTTAAACAAAGAATAGATACATCAGAAGAGATACTTAGGAACCTGGAAGGTATGTCAGAAGAAAACATCTACTATAAAATATAATGAGACAAATGGGTGGAAAATACAAAAAAGACTCAGAGTTGTGTAGGAGAAAAGTGAAAATGTCTAAAAATACCTGTAATTAGAGCTCCAGAAGCAGAAGAAAGCAAGATTGGAGAAATAAGATATGAAGAACTAATGGCCAGGATTGACCCAAAACTGACAAAAACCATCGAAACACAGATTGAAAAGGCACTCCACCCCAGCTCCAAACAATAAATACAAAGATGACTACACCTAATTATATCACTGTTCAATTGCTGAAGAAAGACAAGGGAAATTTAAAAGAACCAAAAGGAAAGAAAAAAAAAAAAAGACATTTTCAAAGTAGCAAAAACAAGACCTGGTTTCTCAACAAAAATATAGGAAGCTAGACAATGGAATAATATTTTCCATGTCCTGAAAGAAAATAATCGCCAACATAGAATTCTATACCTGGCAAAACAAATGTATTATTTTTACATTCGGGGGGAAAATATTTTTAGACAAACAAAAACCAAAATAATTCCTCACCCACGACCTGCAGTAAAGGAAATACTGCAGGACTTACTTCAGGCACAAGGAAAATGATCCTAGTTAAAACACAGGACATACAGGACAGAGTAAAGAGCAACAGAAAGGGTGGATCTAAATGAATATTGACTCATAAAACAATAAAATCCATTTCTTTGGGGATTTAAAATGTAGACAAAACTGCAGGGTGTGGTGACATATACCTATAATCACAGCGACTCCAGAGGCTGAGGCAAGAGGATCACAAATTCAAAGCCAGACTAGCAACTATCTCAAAATTAAACATTTTTTTTTTTTTTAAAAGGGTTGGGGATGTGGCTGAATGGTTAAGCAACACTGGATTCAACCCTCAATACAAAAAAATAAAAAATGTACAGAGAACTTAAAGGCATAGTAATAACAGCAATAAGTTGGAGAAGGAGGGAAATAAAAAGAGTTAACATGCTCTAAGATTCTTGTATAACCTAGGAGATGATAAAAGCACTAATTTATTAGTACTAATAGAGATATTAATAAGTCAGGGGTACATAGCTAACAAATAGGTTTTTTTTTTCACTACTTCAACTTTTTTCTTTTTTAAATTAAATTATTTTTTTATTCTAATTTGTTATACATGATGGCAGAATGCAATTCATTTCATATTACACATATAGAGCACAATTTTTTCAAGTCCCTGATTGTACACAAACTATTTTCCCACCATTCATGTTGTCATCAATGTACTTAGGGTAATGATGTCTAACTTATCATTCCTATCTCCTTGCCCCTTCCTTTCCTCTCTCTCCCCTTTGCCCTATCTAAAGTTCCTCCATTCCTCCCATGTCCCCCACACCACCACCACCCCACCCCTCCCACCCCCCTACCCCCGCCCCACCAGCCCTGCATGACCATTGTGAGTCAGCATCCTCATATCTAAGAAAATATTAGGCTTTTGTTTTTTGGGGATTGGCTTGCTTCACTTAGCATTATATTCTCCAACTCCATCTATTTACCTGCAAATGCCATGATTTTATTCTCTTTCAATGCTGAGTTCCATTGTGTATATATACCAAAGTTTCCCTATTCATTCATCTACTGAAGGACATCTACGTTGGTTCTACATTTTAGCTGCTGTGAATTGTGCGTCTATAAACACTGATAAGGCTGTATTCCTGTAGTTTGCTGTTTTTAAGTCCTTTGGGTATAAAAGGAGGAATGGGATAACTGGATTGAATGTTGGTTCCGTTCCAAGTTTTCCAAGGAATCTCCATACTGTTTTCCACATAGATGTGGGGGAAAAGGCACACTCATACATTGCTGGTAGGACTACAAATAGTTTTGTTTTAATAATATAGAAAACTATTTTGAATTAAAGACAACCTTAATTCAAAAGATGACAGGTAGAATGGGGGGAAGGCAAACATGAAGAAAAGATGGTAGGTATAAATCCACACACATCAGTAACAACAGCACCAAGTACATAGTCCAGAGGGAGTGATTTTGGACTATAGAGATGAGTTATTAACTGACCACAACCATCCTTGGAGGAAGAGTGGGTCAGAATCTAGGAAGAAGCTCTGGGATAAAGAAGGAAAACAGTTTGGGGAACACAGGCTGCATTCCCCAAAAAGTTTGTGTAGTGAAATGAATAAAGGAGAGTTGGGCTACTCGAAGAACCCAAGAGATCAGCCAGACCAGGGAGTGAGGACTCCCCTGTTCATTCCAAGCAAGAGCTTCCAGTTTGTAACAGCAAGGACACTGACATATTTCTTCACCATTACAAAGCTTTCATGTGAAATATGCCACCCGTTCATCACAACTTTGTTATATAGAGCACACAGAATGACAAACCCCATTTTACATATGAAGAAGCGAAGACCTGGAAAAAACCAGACACTCAGTGCCAAACTAGAAACTAGATCTTTCAATTCTCCCTCCATTACTCTTTCCACCACAAGACCTCTAACCTAAAGCAACAGAGGATTTACAACCCATTGATCTTGCCATGCATCTGTTGACCCCAGATTTTTAGTGTTAATTTCCCATTCTACAGAAGTGCTGGGCTACTCAGCCCCAGCTAAGAGTTGTGAAAATTAAATGAGCTACTATAAAGAAAGCCCTAGCACACAGTAGACATCCTCTAAGATGCATGAAACTTATAGTAGATGAACTCCCAGAGTAGTGGCTTAAGGGTCAGGCAGGAACCAGCAACTGCAGAGAGCAAGACAGGTAGGATTCAGGTTCAACCTTCCAGGAGCTTCCAGCCTGGAAGAGGGACAAGGGAAGAACCTAAATGCATTCAAAGGCAGAACAATGCCAAGAAAATGGTACAAGGGGCAACAGGGGAGGTCACATCTGGCTCTCTCTCTCTCTGGACAGAAAGGACACTGAAAGCACCAGGGTGATAGGGACAGAGATGTTCTTGACTGAAGTGTGTAGCCAGAGTCATTACCTTTTTAGCCAATGCCACCATCCCGATGACTGCTATGAAGATGACCCCCAGCACTGCAAGCAATGGGACCTGGAACCCGACGCTGCGCTCTAGAGGGAGGACAAAATAGAGGTGCGTGTCAGAGACCCAAAGCAAAGCTGCCTTCCCCAGGGAAGCCTCAGCTTCAGGGCCCAGGGACCCACAAGTGCCTTTCTCCAACCACAGGCCTGGAGTCTTTAAGTCCAACTCTTTGGACAGCAGAGAGTCCACCTGGACTATCAGGAAATCAATGTCTTATCTCCAGGTATTGTCATGCCTCCTGTATTTGAACCAGAGCAAATTCTTTTTAGCACTCCTTTCCTCTATTCCACAAGATCATTTTCAGTAATCACGAAATGAAAGAAATAATACCATCAGAAGAAAATCCAAAAAGTGAGCGATTTCTTGCATTACACTTCATATACAGAGCCATATCATTAAAATCAGTTTAATTAGAAATGCAATAAATTAATATCAAATTACTAAAAGAAAAGGCATGTGACTTTTCTCCTTAACCCTTATTTCAAGCTCAGCTGTGAAACTCTGGAGGGAGGAAGGCTCTGGAGCCTTAAACTTTGCTGTTTTATCAGCCCCTGACACATAATAGATATGAAATATTTGTAGCATGAATGAGAGTATGAACAAGCAAATCTCTTTAAGACATAAAATATAATGGAAAGAAAAAAGAGGCAAGAGGGGAGTTTTGAAGGCATGAGTGATATTTGATTTAAGGAGAATATGAGAGAACCCAAACAGTTGTCCTGATGCATGCTGTGCTGTGGGTAGAAGAGTTTCCAGGCCACTTCATCCCTCTTCTAACTTCACCCCAGGGTTTTAGGCAGGACCCGAGAGTCCAGGGCAGACTTGGAAAACAAGGGTCTAGTAGAGGCCTGGCCTTGCTACCTTCTAAGGTCTGAAATTGCTAGAATGGCTGCTAAGGTCTCCAATCCCCTAGGACAAGGGCAGTATCTGTCCAAAAGCCAAATTCCATGCTCCTCCCACTCTGAGGACTCAGTCTCCATAGGCCAAGCCGGGCATCACTGACCACAGCAATGAAGTTCACTCAGTGGGAAAGAAGGCAGGTAGGAACCAGACAGCAGTCACCTTGCAGGAGTCAGGGCAGGCTGTAGAGGGCTACGCACAGAGCCCAGACAAGACCTGTGCTCGTAGCTGAGGTCAGAGCCAGGCTAGGGGCCAGGATTGAGATTGGATTCTCTTCCAGCTTGTTGATAGAAGCAGAAGGTTAATACCATGGCCACATTTAAGGGGAGGTTATGATAATGAATTTGTTTAGGTTTAGAGATATAATTAGGACCAGAAAGTATTTTGGATATTAAGAATATCAACTTCATTGGAAATTTCTGTCTGAAGTTAAAACTCCAATTCTTCCATTCACAGTCATATTCAATGATCAAAGACTTCAAGGTCTTTGGAACAGAAGCAGCTGTAGAGCAAGCACCAGAACATGCAGCTAGAGAAGAGGTGGATTCTGCAAAAGGATACTTAAGACTTGTGCTTAGTATCAGGTGAGCTGTAGGGTTAAGTTCAATTCTAGCTTAAAGGTTAAAAATAGCTTACATGTGGTAGTTACTGGAAACTTGGACTAAGGTTTGAGATTAGGGTCAGAAAAAAGTCAGGGTTGGAGTTAGTGCGAGTAATTATAAAGGTCTTGCACTCTGGATAAGCAACTAAGCCCTTGAGAAACAGGAGGAAAACTACAAGTGATCAGTGGTGGCCCTGGGGTCTGCCAGGGCAAAAAGAGTGGAAATGTGTGGCACTTGGGCAGGAGTGGAGCAGGGGTCCAATAGAATGTCTTCTGAATGCTCCCCCCAGGAGGCCCCTGAGGTACAGGGCAGACACTTGCCCCTTCATTTCTCCATTTTCCCATGGAGAATGGGACAAGTGCCGCTGTGGCCAGGGACAAGTATGCTTGCTAGGAGCATCAGTCCCTGGACATGTTTTAGCCTATATTATGTTTTCTCATGTTTTAGCCATGAGAAAACATAATATAGTTCCCCTGTGGGCTCCAGTTCCTGGGGCCTCCATGCCATGCGGGTAGGAGGTGATCTGTCTGGATCCCACCCTATCCCCAGTCCTGCAGTAGCTGATGGGCCCTTGGGCATATGACAAAAGCCCAAAATGGTAAAGACCATCAGGTGGTTATGCTTGCTGGTCCTCTGCTGTGTTATTGTCTAGATCTCCTCTAACCACAAGGCAATAAATAGTATAATAACAAGTATTTATTAAGTTAAGCTTATTATGTGCTCAGCACAGTTACAAGACCTGATTCATAACAGCTCATGAGATTGTTCACCACATTTTATGAATGAGAAAACTGAGAGAAAGCTAAGTAATTTACCCATTCCAATATCAAACCCCAGCAATGTGATTCCGGAACCTAGGCACTTAACTACTCATGGCATTTGTCCTCGGTTGGGACCAGCCAAGAAGTGACATTTGAAAGGAAACTTTAAGGTAACCTTTCATTTTCCCAATATACACATACTTTGAAAATTAATCCCCAACATAATTGATGTCAGAAAGTAGACATTCTGAGTTTGGAGGTCCATGGAAGTAGAACACCTGTGTTAACATCAGCTCTACCACTCTGTGCAACTAGATACAAGCCTAGGTTTTCACCTTCATCAAACAGTCAAATAAGAATCACATTCACAGTCAACACTTACATGGTGCTTATCATGATCCAGGCACTGATGTAAGGACATTTTCTTGCAGTAGGTAATCCAATCCCACATTAGCACCTCATAAGGTCTTACATACATCCTTATTGCACAGATGAAAAAAAAAAAAAAAAAAAAAAAAACGATGCTCAGAGGAGCTGAGTAATCTTGTCTGAGGTCAACAGCAAAGAAGAATTTGAATCCAGGCTGTCTGGTGTCAGAGTTTGAGCTCTGAACCACTCCCTATACTATCTCTCAGATAGGATAATAATCCTTTCGAACTTTGGGAGAAATGGTTTAAGCATCCAAGTGGGTAAGGACTGAAGGAATTTTGGAAACTCTGAAATGCAACACCAATGCCAATTATTGTACATTAACTAGCTCTGATCTTTATAAACTTAAGGGCTAATTATAATGTGCATGATTGACACTAAATCAATAAATGAGCATATGACCTTACCAATCGGTCTTCCTTGTAATATAGATAAGCTGTGCTTCCCACTCAAGAGCAGTGGCTCTCAGTCCTAGCTGCAAATTGAATCACCAGGGATGCTTAGGGATCACATCACATCCTTGTTTGCCCCTAGAGATTCTGATTTCATTGGTCTGTGTGAGGGCCCTGGTATCAGAATTCTTTAAAAACTCCACAAGTGATTCAAATGTGCTCCAGGACTGAGCTTCGCTCCCCAGACTGTGTCAGGATGGCATTTTCTATGCTGCTCCGAGGAAATACCTGAGCTTCCTAGGACCTCCAGGAAGATGCTCCCCTTGTAAATCCCATCAGGGTAGGTGTGATAGATGCAGAAGTACTCCCCTGTGTCATTCATGGTCAGTGACTGGAAAATTAGGCCAAAGTGAGGGCCCGGGGCCACCCGCTCACGGAAGGCCGGGTTGATGTACCACCCATATTCAGTATGACAAATGGCTAGAAGTTGGTCCCGCTGTTCCCAGTTGACTTGGGTCACTTCAGCCATGGTGAAAGAGAGATGACACTGTAAGACGACCGAGCCACCTTCCTCTGCAGAAATGTTCCCCTTCATCACAAATGTGCCTGTTGTAACTTTTAGGAAAGAGAAAAGGGGCACACGTAAGTTCCAGGTCACCCATGGGCCTATAACCTCCCTATAGAAATTCCAAGGGGGCCAGGATTGGTTTTAGGAAAGATTGTTTCTCCAGGCCATCCTATCCCTCCTCTAAACAGACAACTATTGTTTCTGTTTTCATTTTGAGAGGCATTCCTCTTCCTCACTGTCAACTAAGTCTCCCAGCCCCAGCCCTTGGCCCTTTCCGGTCCTCTTGCCCTTTTCTATACACCTCCATTTTGTCCAGCCTGGCTCCTTTCCTCCATCACCTCTGCTTCCAGAGCTTTCTTCTGTCTCCCCCCGCCCCCACCCACTTAGCGCCTTGTCAAATCTGCATTTCCTCTCCTGCATCCCTGAGGACCGCAGCCCAGAGACACCTCCCTTGTCCTTTCACATTCACTGCCTGGGTTGTATAATTAGCACTTTATTAAGGGCCTGGCTGAGGCTGCGAGACTTAGCACTTCGCCCTCTCAGGACATTCTGCCGTCTAGCCTCATGAGCAGCTCTTTGATTATTTTCACATCCTTATTTTGTCTCCCCCAGAGACAGCACCACATCCTTGACTTTTCTGTGTACTCCAGCAGCCTACTCCGGCGCTGGGTTCCTTTGAAGCAAAGCCTGGCTATTTCATTGATGGACATTGGGGGTATCTGGAAAATCCTTTGGGGAAGCCAAGAAATTCAGGGGAAAGGAGGCTTAGCCAGAAACTCTGCTTCTCCCAACCAAAACTATTCTCTCCAATGCTCACCACCCCCAGCATCCCGGGGCACCTCTCCAGCCTTAAAAGGTTCAGAAAGCAACATTAATTTGTTGGCACTACAGTTTTTTTTTTAAATATTTCTGTTTCCCCCTTCTCAGAAATATTTGTCTAAGGTTTTTGGTCTATAAGAAATCAATTTAACAAAAAATTACGTCTGTAATGGTCGATACTTCTGGAATCTATGAGGAAGATATTATTGATCCATAGGAAACTACTACCAACAACCTGGAAGATTCCTCAAAGATAGAAAAGAAGCAGGAGAGAGCTTTTAAAAGTAAATTGTTTATTCTTCCTTTTTGCCCTCCTTCTTACTCCCCTCTCCTTCTCCCGCCTCCGTTCTAATGCTGACTGGTTGCAACCCCCCATCCTGAAGATCCACAGCCCTGAGGCTCAGCCATCCAATACAGGTACATCTCATTCTCAAAGGTCTTTTCTCACTCGAGGGTACACAGGACTCTGAGAACCATGTTTTCTTGCTTCAAACTGGTGGCAAGCACCAGTTCCCTGCATGAGTGCCCTGGTCTCTAGGTCAAGCTCAACTTTGTTCTTTCCTCCTCCCCAGTTCAATAGCTTTCCAGACCTTACCTGAGGCGAGGAGGAGAGCCTGCCTCAGGCCCTGGGCCCAGATCAGGAGCAGGCACCAGTGCATGCTTCTGCCCAGGGGGCCTACAGGAAGCAGATGTGGCCTCTTCTGTGACTGAAACTGGCCGACTGCAGATGGCAAGATGAAACCGAGCCTGTGAGGAAAGAGGGTCTCGGAAAAACTGAGCTCACAAAAGCAATGTCAGAAACAGATAAGCTCTCGACAAGTACACAATCTACATAGGGTGAGCCACAAGAAAGACCGTGAAGGAAACACATTGAAAAGTAAACAAAAATGTGGTTAGAGGTATACTAGTCTTTGGTGACTGTTAGTCAACTGATTACTTTAAATTCTGCCTTAATGCAGTTTTTAAAAAATCAAACTTTAGTATCTAAAGAGTTCAAGGGCCCCAGAGCAGTACCTAAGATTCTGGAGAACCTGTTACTAATCCAGAACATCTCACTAGGCTCCCTTGACTTCGCCCTGCTGAAGAGTCTGCAACCTAATGAAAACTTGTAAGTGGGGGTACTTACAGGTCAGACACCGTCTGGGACAAGGGTCCAACAGAGCAACTCTCCCTTGAATGACGTGTTCTCCTCAAATCTTATCCTTCGGTCTTGTGTACCTGAATTGAGACTTGTTGAACTTTGGATCAGTTCCTCGGATGCAGTAGACTCAGGAGACGCTACAAGAGCAAGTTCTCCTGTCCACAGTGACCCCGTGAGTGTCTGAAGTATGGAGAAGAGTGAGTCCTGCTGATCTAACTCTGGGAAAGGATTGGTTGACGCTTTTCTGGGGCTCCTGGCTCATCACTAGGTCTTGCTGTTGACTCGCCCTTCCTTCTTCTCCCCTTCTCTGTCTTCCCCTCCCTTCATTCATTTAAAAGTCCCTGAGTGCCTGCAAAGTACCAGACTCAGAGGCTCTGAAGATACCAAGGTGAGAAATTATGGTCTTACAAAGCTTCCTCTCTGGTGAAACCACCTGAGAGAAGAGATGGAGGACCATATTCATGGGCTTCCTAGACTCTCAGCACAGCTATCCTGGGCATGCTCCACGGTAGGTATCCCCCAAATCTGCATCTCTTCCAGGGGAAACATCCAAAGCTTAGTCCTGTCCCTTTCATTCCAGCCACATTCAGTCTCCAGTCCTCCTTCTCCCCTGCAGAGGACTCAGGCCAGCTTCTTCCCCTCCCTGGGTTCTTCCCATTCCTCACTCTATACATGACTGTCGCACCCGCCTTCAGACCCTTATGCAATGTACACCTTACCAGCTTCTCTCTGCCCACCCAAACTCGACCTGTCCTTTAAGGCTCACATCAGGAGACATCTCCACTACCTTTCAACAGCCACAATGCCATCAGTTGAAGAAGTGATAAAACCTAACTAGTGTCCAAGGGGAAGTGCTGGGTTGAACAGGAGGCATTTTGTCCAAATCAGTTGCCAGACAGAGGTACCAGAGGTGGGAGAGCCACAATCAGCTAGTGGGAATGCAGCACAGACAAAGGTAGATACTCAGATTCACAGCCCAAGTTTCTATAGTGGAGCAGGTGGGGCCAAAAAGGTGGGTTTATCTTACACAATGAGAAATCCAAAGAAACCTAGAGTTGCTTTATTAAAAAAAAAAAAAGTTTCAAGAAATTTCCTATTTATTTCTAAGCAACTAGTCCACATAGGGACATGGTCATGTCCATTTTGATCCATTGAGCTATTCCTTCAAGGGTAACAGTGAACAGACTATGGAGTAATAATACCAGGGACCAAAGTCATCCTGGTTTGGTGACCTCGGGAAAATTATTCAGCCACCCCATACCTATTTCCTCATCTGCATATAAGAATAACAATACTTCCCTCAGAGGGTTGTTATAAGGATTTAACAAATGGATGTCCGGTAAGGTGCCTTGAAAATAATATTGAGGATAATCAGAGGAAGATAACCTTTTTCTATCTAGTGTATTTTACCATGAGTAAAACCCCAGTCTCCAGACTCCAAAGCCAGGGTTCTACAGCATCTTCTCATTCCTATGGATCTGAGATAAAAAGAAGATGATACGATGTTTCTGCAGGGAAGGAGTCACTGCGGCAGTCAGAGCTTGAGGCTGCCCTGGTGGAAAGTAAAGAGCAGAAGCATCTCTTCATGGAGCCCTCTGCAGGGCCCTCTGTGAAACCCCTACAGGGACTCCAGGTGGGGAGCTGGCGGATCCATCCGCCCAGCCATAGTGAGAAGCACAGCTCTGAGAAGTGGCCTGGCAGAGAGCACCTAGGACCAACCATCCCGTGCTTTGGGATCAGTCAGCAGCCCCTGCAACACAACAGAAACCTCTGAGGCCAGCCAGGTGCTGACTCATATTTCCTTTGGAGGTTATGGGCTGGACAGGCCTGGTCAGCCTTGGTGCAGCTGGGTGGGGGTAGGTATTGGAGAGCAGACTTCATATTGCCTGGAAAGGGGAAGGGGTGCACACCTAGCATGTAAAACACTCTGCAGGACACCCTTTCACAGCCCAGCCTGCTGAGATCCCCCCAAGACCCCCCAGCCAACTCCTCAAGCCAAGTCCTGACAACATGTGGCTAGCAGGGACCACAGCTCTGAGCAAAGAGGGCTGAGTGGTCATACTTTCCACAAGGCCTGTGAAAAACTGGGGGCAACTCGGTGTCTTCTCATGAGACAAACTAATTTCTCAGAGTTTGTGTGCTCCAGCCTCTCCAGATCTCTCTTTGGCTTGGAAGTAGGGGCAGGAGCTCCAGGGCTCTCACACTCTCCACTCCATCCCATCCAAGCCTCTAACAGAGAATGGACATCCTGCAACTACTGGGGGCAGTGACTTTCTCACCCCACACTCCCACCCCCCTCACAGACCAGTGCTTCCTGATGGCTGCTGTGTTTGTGGTAGAGAGCAGCAAGAAAGAGGGCTGAGGGAATATGGGGGACAGGAAGCAGTGGGAATGAGGAGGACAAGACCACTCTAGGCACCAGAAAGAGCAAAGCCACTCTTGTTACCTTGCCCTGATCTTGTACAACCCAGGTTCATTAGCTGAACTTTTAAACTAGCCGAATCTTGCTTAACATTAAGGACAGGATGCCTGAAGGCCACAAGTTCTTCAGGTGAACCGGCTAAAACTGGTCAGATCTAAGATGGCTGCCAGAGTGACACAGACGACTTCTAACTTCATTATAAGAAGATATTCCTCCCCTATCCATCATCCTTATTTTGCTACCCTATGTCTAATAACCTCCTGACCCCCAAGGGTAGGAAGTTCATTTTTAAGTTTATCTTCCACTTCTTCTGTGTTGGCCAAGAATAAAAAGTCTCCACTGCTCAATTGGAACTTAGTCTTTTAGTCCAAGAAGGAAAAGGACCCAGCCTTTGGGGGTCAAATGTGGTCATCCCACATCTTATGACCCCTACCTGCCTCATAGCCTTGCAGAGTCACCTCACAGGAGAGAGAGAACTCAGCAATGGAATAGCCTTCATTCCAAAGCTACAGAGAAAGCTGTCTCAGAAAACCAAAAACTGAATCCATAAGGAATGCCTATGATCTGAGGTGTATTAATAAGTCTATGAGCCACAGGGCTTATGGACGACAGAGCTTCACAGTGAACAAGTGAGGAGAATTTGGGGTCAGATCTCTGACTTCTGTTTGTTCAAGTTCCCTTGGATGATGTGACTCTGAGGACCCCATCCAACCCCAAAGGCTGCCAAGAAGTTCAGTGGACTCTGGAAGATTTTCTTTGTCTTTCCAACTGTGAAAACAGGACAGAGTCCTCCAAGATAGGCTGGAAAGTAGAGTCAGATGAAAACTCTCTGGGAAAAAGCCCTGCCTCCTCTTAGACCTCCCACCCACCAACATTGCTTCCATCCTTTGCCTCCATCCTAGGTGGGATTACACTATTGTATAATTGGAAAATTTATTTAATGACACTTGGTAAGGCAGATTTTATTCATCATGATGGGTTTAGGCACCAAGGCAGTGGGATTTTGCAGTGGAGGAAAGAGATCGAGCTCAACTCTCAATATAGCATGGGCAAGTGGGAATTTATAACCCTGGAGCTGGTTGGCACTCGGTGCATTAAAAATTACTAAGAGGAAACATCAGGGATAGAGAACTCCGAATAAACCAACCTAATGGGATTCTTGCTGAAGACAGGCCAGGATGACCAGACATCACCTGAGAAATAGTGAATGTTAGGACCTGATCAGAGGAGAAGCATGATCAGATACAGCAGGTCAGGGGCTTCTTACTCAACTGATTTAGCAGGACTTCTCGTGAAAAGTGGATTTTACAAGAAGTACACAGATGGGCCTAGAAGTTCAGAGCCTGACTAAATTTGGTAAAGTGATGAGTATTTGTTACTGTCAACTCTTTATATTATCAACACAAACCCTGCCCCAATATGCCTTGGGAAAGGTATTCTCTACCCTTGAAAGCTTAATTTCTACTTTCTGACACCTGCAGCCCTCAGTCATACAGTACAATGAGGACTAAGACAGAAGTACAAGTGAGCATATCATTCCAATAATCCCTAGATCATCAAGAGAAAGACTGCCAGGCCTAGATGTTTTCACACGGGGACTACAGCAAACATTTGAAGACAGATCTTTTCAATGTTGCTTAAAATACACAGACAGCATAATGGAAAACTTCCTAATTAGTTCAATGAAGTAAATTGAAAATTGATGTAATGCCCCCCCAAAAAGAAAATTGATGTAAAAATGATAAAGATTGTATACAATAAAAGAAAAACAGATCCCAATCTTGCTTCCAAATTACTGAGAAAAATTCTAAATAAAATATCATCACACGGACTCCAGTAGCATATTAAAATATATATATATATAATGATCAGGTAGTGTCTACTCCAGAATGGCAAGAATGCTTCAAAGCTAGGAAATCCATTAATAGTAAAAAATAGATCTATATTTTAAAAAGGATGTGGTCATTTCCTTTGATTCTGATAAGAAATCTGACAAGAGTCAGTAACCATGACTGAATTTTTTTAAAAAAACAGTAAGAATCAAAAAATTATTTCTCTATGTAATTACTCACACACACACACACAAACACCCACCCACACACAGAGTGAGTTAATCCCAAATCTAATATCTCTTTTAATGGCAAAGCACTAGAGTTATTCCCAAAAAAGCCAAAAATGAAAGATTTACTGGATTCAATTCAATTAAGTTAGAGAAGCAGTTAAAAGAATAAGAATCATCTTTTTATAAGAATTTATAAGGGCATAAAACTATCACTTATGGGTGTATATATGTTTATATATATATATATATATATATATATATATATATATATATATATATTTATATATTTAGCTCAAAAAAAAAGTCCATAGTAAAAATGGTATTAACAATAAAAGAATTTTGTGAATTGGCAGTATATAAAATTAATACAAATAAATAATCCTTCTATATGTAATCTCCAACCAGTTAGAATTGTTTTAGAATAAAACCCCTATATATAATAGCAGCAAAAAAAACCCCACAAAACAAGAATAAATTTATTTAACAAGGAATATACAAAAGTCACATGAAAAAATTCTAAAGAATCTGCTATCCAAATATATACAAATATATATTTTTAAACATAACCTACAAATATTAAAAGAAAATTAATAAATTCCTTTAAAACATGAAAGTAATTTTTTAACTGTGAATCAAAATCTAGAAGAATCTATAAATAAAATTTGGTGATGAATAAAGTTGTTTTTTTTTTTTTTTTTTAAAGGGCTTTTGCACAGAAGAAAGTGAAAAACTAAGAAAGAATAGATGGAACTTACTTCACACTCAAATGGTTTATCTCCTTAGTATAAAGAGTTCCTAGAAATCTAGAAAAAAAGACCAAGCCTGAACATATCAAAACACCTAAACTAATAGTGTATCTAGCAAAATAAATACAAATGGTCCTCAAACACATGGAAAGTTCTTCAACCTCAGTCATAAATGGAGAGATGAGCATAAAAACTACACTATGAAACCTTTTTTTCTCTCCCACCAAATTGACAAGTCAAATTTTTGGCAATATATTGTATTAGTAAAGCTACAGAGAAACAAGTGTTGCTGTATATTGTAGTTAGGGTGGAAAATGATAACTTCTTTGGAGGAGAGCTCATCAATGTCTGTCAAGATCACAGCTGTGTTTACTTTTGACCCAGGAATACCAAGGAAATAATTGCACAAGGTTATTCACTGAGGCATTATATATACTAGCAATTAAAAGAAAAAAAAAGGAAACAATTCAAATATACACCCATAGGAGAATGGTTGACCCTGGTACCTCCACAAAATGGAGTGTGGTGGCACATTTCTATAATCCCAGCAGTTTGGGAGGCTGAGGTAGGAGAATTGAAAATTCAAAGCCAGCCTCAGCAACTTAGAGAGGGCCTAAGCATCTTAGTGAGACCGTGTCTCAAAATAAAAAATAAAAATAAAAAGGGGTGGAGATGTGGCTCAGTGGTTAAGCACCCAGGGTTCAATCGCTGGTACAAAAAACAAAAACACAAATAAAACCAGAAAGAAGATTGGGGCTTTGGGGGAAGTGATGAAAGTAATGAAGATGGAGCACTCAGTGGGATTAGAGCCCTCATTAAAAAGACCTGAAGGAGGTTATTAGTTCCTACCACCATGTAGGACACAGCTAGAAGTCACCAACTATGGAGAACAAGCCCTCGTTATATACCAAATCTTTAGGTGCCCTGATGTTGGACTTCCCAGCCTCCAGGACTATGAGGAATAAATTTCTGTTGTTTGTAAATATTTAGTTTAAGGTGTTTTATTATAACAGCCAGAGACACATAAGATTAAAAAAAAAAAGAGAGAGAGAGAAAGAAAAACCATCCCTATAATCAAAGGGGGGAAAAGACACAAATTAATCTAATTGCCTATAAAATTAATAGTAGAATCACACACACACACACACACACAAAAAAAAAAAACCAATTATTTCAGTTAAGTTTGAAACAGCTCTTTTTATTTCTTTGGTGGGATATAAAATGCTCCTCCACTTATTGTGGGGGTCACCTCCTGATAGACCCATCATAATTTGAAAATGCTGTAATACCCCTAAGCTGCCCCACATGACATCCTAGCCACACACAGCACTGTGCAGTATCTGCCGTTTGCTCTCAAGATTGAGTGGGCTGACTGGGCCTTATGGAAGCCTACCACTGCCCAGCAACACAAGAATTTCTTGTCACATATGGCTAGCCTGGGAAAAGATCAAAATTCAAAATACTAAGTATGATTTCTGATAAATGTGTGGCACTTTCATGTCATCATAAAGTCAAGAAATCAAAAATCAAACCATTCTAAGATAGGGTCTGTTTGTAATCTGTGATAAAAATGTACATTTATTCCATTCATTCAGTTGTGGGATTTTTCTTAAAATAATAATATAATAAATAACTACCTTAGTGTTAGATTCTCAGCATAAGAGAAAATAATTAGAAGTATAAATCCAAACAATTATAATATAAACTATTACTGCAAACCCCATGATTTTAAATAAAATATGTGTATGTACATACACACATGTATATATAATCTAGCTCTGCCTATTAAAAGAGAAAAAAATTGTAGTGGAAACAAATATTACTAGAGCCAGATTATGGTTTCTAAATGCCATTCTGGTATTTCAGAAACCAGGGCTTCTTAAAGAAATTACTCACTCCAGGTCTGGGGCAAGGAATAAACAAAGCCGGCTTGAGACTTTTCATCTTGCAGGAAACAAGGAAGCTTTGAAAGATCAGTGGGAGCATGTCAGAAAGATAAATCAATTGGATTTTGGCCATAACTGGCCAAAATCAGGCCAATTCAAACATGAAAAAGAAAAATGGTTATGAGAACATATTAAAGACTTATGTAAGAATGATACCCCCTAAATAAAAACAAACCAGGTATGTGCCCCCTGGAGGTGGTATTTCTCTAATTCCTTGTCCTAAAAGTTGGTAAAGGTAGAAATCATTTATCCTGACTCTCCAGACAGAACTATATTTAAGGGTAACTAAATACTCCAGTTGATGAGGGAAAGCAGTTCTTTGCAAAATAATTCCAGCTAACAAATTCAGAGTACATTTTGTAAGCCTTAATGAAATAGTTGGCTTAGTTAAGGATCATCAGTGAACATCAAAACCATTACACAAAAATATGATGGTGGGATAGATGTTCCAAGGACTAAAGCAGCACCCACAGATTGCCTGCTGGTCACAGGGGCAAAACCATGACTGCTCAGAGGAGGGATCAGGCTGTCAGCACTTTCCCCTAGTGACTAATCGAAACATCACTTAAACTTGAACAACTAGAGGTTTAATGCCTTCTAACGGGACCCTAGGGACAATAGCATCTATAAAATGCTCTTGCCTACAAGGTTTAACCTAAATCTAATGAGTTCTCTAGGCATAACTTTTAGTTTGCAGGAAATTCAGTATAGCAGAGATAAACTAGTTAAATGACCACTACAAAGCAGAAAGAAAACAGCAAAAATTCGGGCAATTAATTTAAGAAGGCAACGTCATGGGAAAAATAGAGCAGGGGAGAACTATTCTAGATTGACATAAATTTAGAAAACACAACAGCCAAATCCAATTCACAGTCCTTGGTTGTCCCTTGATTCCAACAAGGAGATAGGGCAGGGGAGGCAATTCTAGGAAATACATATGGATTGGTTGCATTTTCAAACTAATGTCAGTTTTGTTAATCGTTTGTTGGGTAGTGAGTTGTGTTCTTCCAGAATTCATATATTGAAATTCTAATCCCCAGGATTTCAGAATGTGACTCTATTTGGAGATAGGACCTTTAAGGAGATGATTAAGGGAAAATGAATGATTTAGGGTGGGTCCTAATCCAATTTGACTATTGTCCTTAGAAAAAAGAGAAAATTTGGACACAGAGAGACACAAAGACAGAAGTACAGCTTTCATTATTATAACAAAATACCTGAGATATCAAAGGGAAGAAAGGTTTATTTTAGCTCACAGTTTGAGAGGTTTCAATCCATAATCACTTGGCCTGGTTGTCTTTGGGACTGTGGCAAGGTAGAAAATCATGGCAGAAGCACACGGCAGAGGAGGCTGCTCACCTCATATTGACTCAGAAGCAAAGAGAGAGAAACAGAAAGTGACCAGGGCCCCAGTATCCCGCTTCAGGCCAGTCCCCCAATTACCTAACTTCCTTCCACTAGGCCCCACCTCCTAAAGGTTCCACCACCTCCCAATAGCACCACAGGCTGGTGACCAAGTTTTTATCACATGGACCTTTGGGGGACATTCCATGTACAAACTACAGAATATCAGAAAAAAAATTTAGAGCCTTCTGATAAAATTTTTAAGTGAGAAATATTTTAATAGTCTATAAATTTTAAATATTTAACAAATAAATGAAGAAAGGGTGATAAAATGTTAATTGTGAAATTCAGGTATTTGGTAATACAGGTATTACCTTTCTGCTTCTCTGGGAATTTGAAATTCATCATAAAACATCAAAATGAAAAGAAAGAAAATCTTCAAGTAGAGTTGAAAGACAGTGAGCATCAGGCTGGATATCCAGGCAGGGAGGGCACAGAAGAAGAGAGACCAGAAGGAAGAGACCCTTACAAGGAAAGTCTAGCCTGCTTCAAGGTTGATTCAAGGTCTCTACCTTTTAAAACATCTGTACACAAAATAGGGTATTAGAATTAAATTTCACATCAGAGGAATTACCAATGGTAAGGCTGAGAGAGCAGAACAATTTAAAATGAATTTGGAGTGGTAGTAAAACATTACTCATTTCAGTCACTTACATGAACTACTAAACATTTAAGTATGAATACTGTTTAGCATAATAATAATTATGCATACAACTTAAAAAATACAGCTGGAAATATATAATTAATTTAAAATGTCATAACAATTAAAAGAGCTTTTCAATATGTAGCCAAATTCCTGATATTGGATATGTAGTTACTAGTCTGAGCTAAGACTGTTTGATTCTCTGTCATAACAAATTTAACAGCCCTAACACATTTCTTCGTGTCAATCAATCAACAAACATTGAGAACTTACTTTGCAAAACTTCTATACTAGGCATAATGTTGTTACAAAGAATAAAAACTTTAGGAGTTTAGCATCTATTTAGAAATTTTATATTCAAATAAAAATAATTAAGCAATTAGGTAAATCATAAGAGTGAATGAATGATACAGACAAGTGGAGGTGTATTTGTAGGAGAGTCCTTTTTATCAGGTAAAAGGAGAAATAAGTAGTTGTGTGGGTGAAGCAAAGATATCTAGTCTCAGAGCAAGAAGATAGACCTAAATAATATAAAAGCAATGTGGAGGTGGTAAAGACCGTTGACAGGCAGGCTATCCTTGTGGAGGGTTGTGATGGCAGTGTTAATCCTCGTATCCAGTCTCCCATGCTCTTAGGTAACACCTCAGAAACATGATGGGACATTCAGGTATGCTTAGGCTGAATGTTTAAAAACATATATTATAGCGGGGAAAACATGGATGTAGGTGGTATCATAGGTCAAAGAAAGGTAGGATAATAGGCTCAGTAAAAGAGAGGGCTGTTTCTTCACCCCCACCTCATCCCAAAGGGATTAATGTGCATAACTTGCTCCTTTGCTCAGACAGGGAAAGTGGTCAATGCAAATGTCTGATGCTCTTGTGAAAGTGGATAGGGAAGCCATGACCCTCGTGGGCTGGACAGAGAGGGGATGTCAAACTCTGGTCCCACAACGGTCCTTCTCAAAACAGACACACATCCTCTTGGCCTTATTCAAATGAAGCTACTCTTTCAGAGTACCTGAGCAAAGGCTTCAAAAAGGGAAAGATGATCGGAGGTATGAGTAACAAAGAGCATGTAGAATTCTCCAAGGGGGAAAAACACTGATCAAAGTACATGTGTGGCCTCCGTATCTCCATTTGTCTCCCAATAAGGCCTTTCCCCATCCCTCCTACCAACCCAATCTACCTCCTGCCCCGCTCCCCCCACCCCCAACCACAATCTGCCATAAAGACTAAAGCTGACAGGGAGTTTTCATGCCAGGCTCAACCCAGCATGAGCTCCATTGCTGATTATGTAAAGCAGCGCCGTAAGTCCAAGCCTCCTAGGTCAATGCTGGGCACCTGGGTTCCCTTTTCTTTTGTGACTTTAATTTGTCCCAGTTTTCTATCCTTCCCCAATCTGCTACCCCAAATGCCCTCCATTCTGCCCCTTGGGTCTCATAATTTGTCATCAGCAAAAAAAATCTCTTTTATTTCCAAATTTTTCTTTAAATCACTGGTTGTCAAAGTGTAAGCCTGGACCAGCCACATCACATCACTTAAAAACTTGCTAGTTCTCCCTCTGCTGCCATCTGGATATGTTTTTGGTCAATTCATTTAGAAATAAAAACCAGTGAATGAAAGAGAAAGAGAGAGAGAGAGAGAGAGAGAGAGAGAGAGAGAGAGAGAGAGAGATCCAGAGAAAGGAATGATTATCTAAGCAATACCACATCATGACCCTAGCAAAACTCACCCCATCCCATCTCTATTCCAGTGGGCATCATGAATCAGTGCTAGGAGCAAGCTGTTTGTTACTAGTGTACGGCAAGAGAAGAGAAAAAAAATTGGGGGAAAAGGTTTAGAAGTATATCGCAAATTGACTGTGATTTCATGTCTGCTAAATATATATATATATATATATATATATATATATATATATATATATTTTTTTTTTAATATTTATTTAGCAGAACTGGAGATAGAACCCAGGTTCTTAGTCATGTTAGGCCAGTGCTCTACCACTGATCTATATTCCTGATCCTAATAATAGTTTTTTAAATGGAACCTGAAAAATAATCTGGAAGCACATTCTCAGACACCATCCTAGACCCAAAGACTCCAAATCTCTGGGGCCAGCTCCCAGTGTCTGCATTGTAACAAGCCTCCAAGCATTTCAGTAGTTGATGAGGCACCTAGCTAGGACTCTCCTCCCAAGATCCCTGAAGAGAAGCTGATCCATTGCATTGATTGCTACAGGGACCCAGCTTCCTGTTTGCATATTAATTAAAATACCCCATTCTAAAGTAGCAAATAAAACACCTTTTCTACCTTTCATCTTCACCTCTAACTTCTAATATCATACATACACATACAGATAAGCTTTACTCTTGAATTGGGTTATCTGAATTTATTAGAGCTAATTCTGTTTTCTTATCCTAAAATGATGATCTCCTGTCTTTTCTTCTTTTTAGTTCAAACATATGTCCATGGTGATCTATTTTACATATTATAAAAACTAAGAATAGAAATTAAGTTAAAATGGTAAAATAAAAAGTGAGGTATTGCCAAGTGCATGATGCACACCTGTCATCCCAGTGGCTTAGGAGGCTGAGGCAGGAGGATTCGCAACTTAGCAAGACTTTATCTAAAAAAAAAAAAAAAATTGGGGATATTTTCTTTATGCACTACAATGACTCGTGTAAATCACTTTGAAGACATCAGTCTTGAAGGAGTTGAGACATTGTGAGGGCTGAGATTTCACTATAAGTTTCTGGATCTACTAAACAGGTAGCACTAGAGATTCAGGCTTCCAGACTAGGGGTCTAAATTAGATTTTTATAGTGGTGTCACATTAAATACTTAGATCACTGGGGGGCAGGGGGGAAATACCCAGTTTGAAGCATTCATCAATGCTGATGGTGTAAACACTCCTACTGTGGATAATTTCAAGCAATCTATATGACAGCACCAAACATGGAGTTTAGAAAAAGATGTGCATCTCTGTGATACATAGTCCAGTATAAGCTCGCTCCACCTGTTAATTCTGGTACGCAACGCGTCTTGATTAAGGTCTACCTTTCAGTCAATTCCCTTTATTCTAGGGAACTGGTTTTCTAATTAAGTATTTTCTAATTAACTTGCTCCCTTTTAATTTTCTAAAACCCCTCCTAATGGCTAGGATGAATGCTTGGTCTTCACAGGATGGGGATAGTTATGACAGAGGAGCCAGGTAGGTCTGGAAGCCGGGTGGTCATCTGGGTTTGGTCCACTTGGGGACAGGTGTAGTGTAGTGGGGGAGAGAGAACCAGTGATGGCCATGCCCTGGAAATCAACACCTGGACTTATGTCAAGACAGGGGCTTGGGCAAAATTCTCTCAGCCTATATACAAAGGGGAGCTGGGATTCAGGTCTCTCCAAATGCCATGCCTTTCAACTCCAGCAGAACCTGCCTACCTGCCTCACTGTTCTCCTCCCCAAATGCAAATCCCAAACTGGACTGTGGTGACTACATAGGAGCTCCTGAACTTTAAAAAAAAATCTTTTTAGTTTTACATGGACAAAATACCTTTTTTTATGTGTGGTGCTGAGGATAAACCCAGGGCCTCACATGGGCTAGACAAGCGCTCTACTGCTGAGCCATAACCCCAGCCCAAGGAGCTCCTGAACTTTTAGAGCCAAATTAAAGGGTATTTTTTTAAAACATTAATTAATATAAGTATTTGTTGACATGGTATAAGCACTTATGAGGTCCTAGGCACTGTTCCAAGTGCTTTATGAGGCAGATACTATTAATATCTCGATTGGGCAGATGAGGAAACTTGTGTGGAGTGGTCAGACAACTTTCCCAAGGTCCCATATCTAGAAAGAAGAAAAATCTGCATTTGAACCCACCCAGGCTGACCCCAGAACCCATGATGATAAAGACTGGTGATCAACTGCCTCCCTCTACTAGTCAATCAATGTCTTTGTGGCATCTGGTACAGAGGTAGGCTCTGCCCATAGTAGAAAACCCAGAGAAGTGTGTCCCTGTCCTCAGGATGCTTTCAAAAAGCTTATAGGCTCCTTAAGAAAATAAGAGTAATGCAAATGAAGTAATTAGAAAATCTTAGCAGACAGCCTGTAATTAGCTGTAATGTAATATCCCCCATGGCTAAGAAAAGTGCTTCCTGGTAGAGGCCCTGAGACCTAACCCCTACCTCCAGAGCTATAATCACTCTTTTAAAAAACCAGAATCTAGGTCAGACGGGGCCCTGGGCCTGCAATCTGGTACTGTAATTTTCTCTTCTAAGGAATCCCACCTGACCAAA